GGGGGGGGGGGGGGGTGTTCAATGTAAGAGGGATAACAAATGGTCCGAACCTCGATGTTGCCTCCCACCCTGGCCAGCAGGGGGGGCAGCGGCTTGTCTTTGTCGTTCCTCAGGCCCTTCCTGCTCGGCCTGCGAGAGTTGGCTGCAGAAATCAAACAATTTGATTTAATGTTTTTTGTGTATAAGCATGTGATACAACTTATACAACTGGTCAACTTTCCTTTTTATACACACAGATATGTTTAATGTCACTGTTGCAAAAACACCTGAAGCATTAGCTTAATATTAATATTGTTTAACGTTATTTACCTCTAAAAACAGACATTGGTTCTCACCTTCTGTTCGCTCGTCAAAGTCCTCGTCTCCCTCCTCAGACGCCACCGAGTAATCCGATTGGCCGTCAGACTGGTCATCCTGCCAATCAGCTTTGAGATTAAAAACAAGAGGTTTTTAATGCACTGTCCAGAAAGACTTCAGCGAGTATTTTAGTTCTCATTCACACAAACGTCACACTCTGGGTTTGAACTTCTCTCTAATTCTGCTTCTTTACATGTGAACTACTGAGAGCAACAAGAAGGAGGTCAAACTTCTGTTATGAAGTTGTTTCTATGAACACGTCTGTTATAAATCCTGTTCATGCACAAGGAACAAAAAAAAATGTCTCTGAAGAAAAACCCAATTTATGACAACAACAGTCTGTGTGGGCGGCTCCGGCATTTTAGCTCCTCAAGCTAAATGAGCTGAGGTCAGTAATGTGCTGTGCATTGTGGGTAATAGAGTCTCATGACTCAAGAGGTGACGCGCATCCGACGCCGGCTTGACAAACATTCAGGGTGAAATTAAAGGGAAAGGTGACAAAGATAAGATTCCCCCTAGAGGAGTCTGTGAGAAAAAGAATATAAATAAAATAAATATAAATTTAAAACAAAAAATGTATTTAAAAAAAATAAAATAAATAAATATCTTACACCATTCTAGAAGCTAATAGTAAAAAAAAAGCCAATAATTACCTCCATTCCTACCTCTGTCCTCTTGAGACCCGTCGTTGTAGTTGACCTGCTTGCGGATACGCTTGCCTTTGCCCAGGTTGCGGGCCAGATCCTCCTGCTGCTGCTCGTAATGGTGACGCAGCAGCTTCTCCCAGTAGTCCGGGTCCACGCTCTCCTCCTGCTTGATGATCTCCCGCTGCACCTCCTCCTCCTGAGCGGAAAAAGACGGGAGAAAACGGTCGGAGACGGTTAACAAACCGGTGAGACATTAAGCGGCGTCGGATGTTAAGCTCTCGTCTTCGCTCACCTCCTCCTCCTCGTCTTTGACCACGTACTGAGCCACCTTGAAGGAGCTCAGGTACTCGTTCATGCTCTGCAGCTCCTTGTCTTCCGTGGCGTCCTGGTTCCTGTCCAGCAGACGGTCGATGGCCTTCTCGTCGTAGTGAATGACGCTGCTGTCCTCCTCCTTGTTCTTGTGCTCACCGAGACCGTACAGCTCGTCCTTGAAGAGCTGCTCCGTTCCGAACTTGAGGATGTCGTCCAGCTCCTGTTTGGACATGGAGCCCGTCTTGGATCCGAGACCTGGTCGGACCACCAGGTGAGTTAGCATCATCTTCTTCTTGGCAACCTGGACAACAGAAAGAGCAATTTGTTGGTTGTCAATATGTCCAGTATTTTCATCTGAGCTTTGCTATTAAAAACATCTTTTTGAATGTATTGCAGCAAAAACTAGAAAGTGTGAAATAATTGTTTCTCTTTAGTCGTCACTTGCAGAAAACAGTAGCCAGATGTAAGCATCTGTTGGGCAACACTCGACAGAAGACATTGCGTTGCCGCGGTCCTGTTTACCTGAGTAATCCTCTCCTCCACTGAGGCCTTGGTGACGAAGCGGTAGATCATCACCTTCTTGTTCTGACCGATACGATGAGCTCTGCTGAAGGCCTGAAAACACAGGAAGAGGAGTTGTGAATCGTCAAAATATTTAACTTCTCAATAAACCTCAGAGGGAAATAAAACCCTCATATTGGGATAGAAAACTGTACAAATTCAGCAAATATGTTTGAAAGATTTCCCTCAAAAGTTCACAACAACTTCACTTCATGATCAATAACAACGAGTAGAAGCGGACGGAGTAGCGGGAGTCCTGCCGTACCTGGATGTCGTTGTGGGGGTTCCAGTCAGAGTCGTAGATGATGACGGTGTCGGCGGTGGCCAGGTTGATACCCAGACCTCCGGCCCTCGTTGACAGCAGGAAGGCGAACTGCGGAGCGCCGGGAGCTGAGGGAAGAGAAATGATCAGCTTCCATATCAGTGACCTGGAACCTCAATAACAACACATCAAGTAACTCTTTTTAAGTTCACAGTTTGGTGCTCGCGGTCTCACCGTTGAAGCGATCGATAGCTTCCTGTCTCATCCCTCCCGTGATGCCACCGTCGATCCTCTCATACTTGTAGCCCTCGTTCTCCAGGAAGTCCTCGAGCAAGTCCAACATCTTGGTCATCTGCAGCGAAAAACACGGAGGAGACGGATTATTAGGAAACAGCTAAACGACATTCTCCACTTCAGTCCTTCTCGTTCCAACAAACGAGCAGAAAAAAAGTGTTTTTTTACAACCTTTTGTACAATTACGTTTTTTTTATTTTTATCTTTAAGCTTTACAGGATCAACTCGGATAGAAAACATTCTTCTCTCCGATCATTTAAAAAGAGAAAAAGCAGAATAGGACAAAAACAGAAACATTTCAAGTAGTGAAAGGAAGAGAACGATAAACAATGAAGAGACAGAATATAGGAGCATCTGGTCTCTTACCTGAGAGAAGATGAGCACTCTGTGTCCTCCGTTCTTCAGCTTCCTCATCATCGTCTGCAGTAACGTCAGTTTCCCAGCAGCCTTTGTGAGAGAGTTGCCGTCGTACATCCCGTTGGGCATCTTTGGAGCTTCCTGTTTGTGAGCGACCAAAACGAACAGTTTAGGTTACCCAAGTTCTCAAACGACAGAGAGAAAGTTCAGCTAGAATGTTAAATCTCGTTGGGTTCGTACAATAGCGGCCGTGGGGAAGAGGTAGGGGTGGTTGCAGCACTTCTTGAGGTCCATGACGACGTTGAGCAGAGAAACCTGGTTTCCTCCTCCTTTGGTGTTCAGAGCCTCAAAGTTTTTCGTCAGGATGAACTTGTAGTACTTCCTGCAAAACACACATTTACTCGGTTACATTTAAAAACAAACGCGACTTTATTTTTGGAAGGAGCATCATCTTGAAAAGGAAGAGCCAGACTCACTTCTGCAGAGGGCTGAGCTCCACCCGGACGATGAGCTCCGTCTTGGAGGGCATATCTTTGAAGACGTCGGCCTTCAGCCTCCTGAGCATGTGCGGACCCAGCATGTCGTGCAGCTTCTTGATCTGGTCTTCCTTTGCGATGTCGGCGAACTCCTCCAGGAAAATCTCCAATTTACTGCAAACGAGACGCGGACGACAGGTGAGACTTCACAACACACAAATCTAAGACGTCACGAGAAACTAAATGGGATAGAAAAGCAGAATTAGGGTTATTTTTGTGGAGTCTTTGCTTTTTTCTTTGAATTACTGGATATTTTCAACCCTCAAAACATCTGCTAAGTCATATGCAAACATCTACTAATATCTGCAAGTTCATTATCATTTATATTGGTTTAGAGTCTCCAGTTCCAGAACAAACAAAACACACTGCTGACTCACACATCATGACCTTACACCTGAAGGAAAGCCTCAGTGCTGTGGTGAGGGCTCTGAAAATGTTCCTCCTATAAAAAAGGTAAAGTGTTAGAGAACAGAGACCGGCGCCCACCTGAACCTCTCAGGTGTGAGGAAGTTGAGCAGGTGGAAAAGCTCCTCCAGGTTGTTCTGCAGCGGAGTTCCAGTCAGCAGCAGTTTGTGCTGCAGAGGGTAGTTGTTCAACACCCGGAAAAACTACAGCAGGAAAGAAAATAAACAAAGAAGAACACGTTCACAGCTGCAGTTAAACGTCGGAGACGGCTGTCTGCACAAGCTTCCAATACAGACATGTTTAAAACTGTTTTATTCCAAAACGTTCTAGTAGGTCAGCTTTGAAGCGATGTGCATTTCAAGCAAAAGTCACTATTAATTCTATTTGATACTCCCCCTAACCTTTACTAACAGACCCCCGTGTGTCTACATGCGTGTTCGTACCTTCGACTGGTTGTTTTTCAGTCTGTGGGCCTCGTCCACCACCAGGCAGGCCCAGTCTATGGAGCCCAGGATGGCCATGTCGATGGTGATCAGCTCGTAGGACGTCAGCAGGACGTGGAACTTGATCGATGAGTCTTTCTGTTGGGGGGGAAAGAAACACAAACAAGGTGTTACCCTCCGTCTGTTAGATACTTTTATCCGAGTGAGCTTTCCGTTCCGTCTCCTCTCACCCTCATCCTGGAGGCCTTCTTCCCTCCTCGGGTGGCGTTGTCCTCGAAGGAGAACTCGTTCTCTCGGATGACGGCTCGGCTGTCTTTGTCTCCGACGTAGGTCACCACGTACATGTCGGGGGCCCACATCTCCAACTCCCTCTCCCAGTTGATGATGGTGGAGAGCGGCGCGCTGACCAGGAACGGGCCCTTCGAGTGGCCCTGCAGGCGGAGAGAGAGAGAGGAGGTCAAGTTCAACTCGAGTCATTTCACAAATATAGCAACGAACTCGAGGGTTTGATTCTTGGTTCAAACCGATAAGAACTGAAATCAGGAGAGCAGAAACTTATGAATAAACAAGGAAACCGATACTAAATCTCATGTTTCAGGCATAGAGCTACAATTGATTATTAACAATTAAATCAGATGATTATCTTCCTGATTAATAGATGAATCTTTTTGTTTATATACATTTCCAAATAGCAAAAAGAGTCCATCATTCCTAAAGAGACAAAGATGACGTTTTTAAACATTTTTGTCCGTCCAAAACTCCACAAATATTAAATTTACTACCACAGAATAATCTAATTTTAGAAGTCGGAGCCAGTAAACGTTTGGCAATTACGATCAATACAAATCACTTAAGAAATTACTTTATTACTTGATTATCAGACTAGTTACAGATTCATCTGAAAACTTGACAAACTGTGTCATGAACTCAAGTCATTGAGAGACGTGTCCCTCAGGTCTGAACTGTACATAAAACAAAACAAATGAAACAGATAACTTCATAAAATGTGTTTTAAAAATAAATCCTCAGATCAAGTTTATTAAAAAACGCTGCAGAAGATCTCCTGCTGCTCCGACAGGAAGTGTATTCTGGCCTCCCTCCTTTAGGTGGCAGTGGCTCACACGACCGGCGTCTGAGATCGAGAACTTAATGTCGTCTGATTTCACCTGACTTACACAAAATGGCTGGACGGCTCCCGGCCAATAGGAGGACAGCTGCACACAGAGAGCTACTCTGGAGCCAAAGCTGCCTTAAAGATGTATTATCTCACAGTAAATATGAAAATCATTAAAAAAAACTTTAAGTGCTAGAAATCATTTCCCCACAAGACGAGTTGTGCAGTTTCAGTGTGTGTGTCTTTTACAACACATCTCACAGCCTAACCCACCTCTTTATAGAGCGAGTAGAGGAAGACGGCGGTCTGCACCGTCTTACCCAGACCCATCTCGTCGGCCAGGATGGTGTCGGTGCCCTGAGCCCAGGAGAACCGCAGCCAGTTGAGACCCTCCAGCTGGTAGGGGTGCAGCGTGCCCCCCGTGCTGTCCAGGTAGTCCTGCTGACGCTCGAACTTTATGGTCGGCTGAGGGGAGACAAGAAGACATTGTACATGGTGTTAAAAGTAAGAGATGAGAAAAGTATCTTGAACTGACAATCTGTGCAACATATTCTTTTGTTACACTGAACTACAGGTCAAACAATTCATTGTTACAAACTTTTATCTGTAACAGTAGAACCGGGCGGTTCATCTTTGGTCACATCAAGACTTTCCCTTTAAGAACGTCCACAGAAACGTCCTCCGTTTGGTTTTTAGAGTGCTGAAGGGAAGTTAAACCCCTTAAATACTCCAGACTTACGTCCACCACGGGGTTCTCAGGAGGTCTGTCGGGCCGCTTCACTCGTCCCTTCACCTTGAGCTTCTTCCCCGGTTTCCCCTCGTCTCCCATTATCAGCTCTCTGAAACAAACGCTCCAGTCAGTGAAGTAAAGAAGTGTTGCTTTAAGAGCGCACACATCTGTATCCTGCTGCAGCTGTAGTCTCACCTGTGGTTCCAGTAGTGCACCTTGCAGGTGTCAAAGTCGGGTACGTCCATGTCGTCGGCCTCCCAGGTGGCCTGGTCGTACGGCAACTCTCTCCACTTGATCAGGTAGTGGATGTTGTTCTTCCTGTCCACACTGGAAAACAATGTTAAGTCATTTTTCATGTTTGGCAGAAGATTCATGACACAAATATCTGAAATATTACTCGTCTAAACAGAGATTTGTGGAGTTATCTTTAATAAATGGACAGCTTTACAAGAAATGACTGCAGTAACTAAAGACCAAATCTTCTTCCCCCGAGTAGAGCCGCAGCCTCACCTGTGGTTGAGGATGCGGTGCATCATCAGCCACTCAAACTTGATGCCATAGCGGAGGTACTTGTCGTCCAGCTGCGCGTACATGGGGTCCTTGTTCCTCCTCTTGACGCTCTTGTCCTCCTCGCCTTCGGCGAAGTCGATGGGCGGCGGATCGTCCATGTCGTTCTTCCTCTGGTAGTTCCTGAACAGCACCTGACAGTGGAGCTCCAGCTGGTGACGAGGAGGAGGGAGGACCAAAAGGAGGACGAAGGTTAAAAAGAGAGGAGATTTGTTTCTAGTCGAGCGTCAGAAACACGGTAAAAGTTCACACCTGGAGCTCGGTGACCCAGGAGCAGTGCCAGTACGACATGTTGGACCACTTGGTGAAGAACTCTCTGTCCGGACGTCCCGCCAGCGGTTTGGGGTCGGGGGTGTCGGCCGCAAGGTCCGCAGGGCGGGGCACCGGCGTGGGAGCCGGAGCTTCGCCCCATCGCCACGTCAGGATCTTCTGGACCTTCCCCTTTATGGGGAGACACTGGAGGGGGAGGACAGAGAGGGAAACATTAATATTACAGCATTAAGATGATGGCGTTTATTTTTTACCCCGAATAAACTGCTTCTAATTTTCTCTTGTGTGATTGAAAGTCTTTAAATAAATCTCTTAAATCACTTTTAATAAATCGATTCACTACTCTGATCATTTCCATGACTTTAAAACACCCGTCTGTTTAACTGCTGCGGTAAAACATTCGGCGGTTAATTAAATCTGCTTCATGTTTCTCTGGTTACACAGAGAATCTGCGTTGGTTTCTTGAACGTAACCGTGATTTTTCTTTCTTAAAATCACTCGTCGGGGCGCGCTGACCTCAACGGGCACAGAAACACCTCCAGGAGGAGCGTAAACATCCGACGAATCAATGAATAAAAGGCCGACTCTAACTCCGACGGGTCAAACGTCACATCCGTCTCCCCCGGTGGGCTCACCGTGCAGCGGGGGCAGATCCACTCTCCGTTGGGGATCTCTGGGAGCGGCGGGTTGAGGCAGTGGATGTGGTACGACGAGGGGCACGAGTCGCAGCAGAGCAGCTCGCCTCCGTCTTTGCACACTCGGCAGAACTCCATGTGGAGGTCGTCCTCCTCCATGTCTACAGCCTCGACGACGTCCTCCTCGGCCTCCGAGTTCTCCTCCCTGGCCTCCCACTGGATGCCCTCCTTCTCCTGGAATGAGAGGAAGAAGGTTTATATCTTAAACCTCCTCAAAGTATTACTACACCCAGAAAATGATCACTTCTGTATTAGTTACAATCGTTCTACTCTTTATCTGAGGTTTCTTTTTACAGCGGACTCTTGGGTTGACTTTGTCTTAGTTTTGGGACTCGTAGAGAAACTGATTTTACTTCAGTTGATGTTTGAGAAGTCTGTGTTGCTCTGACTTGCCCTCGTTTGGTTTTTAGGGAATAAGAGAGTCGGCATGTTGCTTACACAGTGCGGGCAGCTCCAGGTGCCCTCGGGGGCCTTCTCCATGTCGGGGTCCAGGCAGACCATGTGGTACGCTCTGGGGCAGGTGTCACACAGGATGATCTCGCCACCCTGCTGGCAAACCTCGCAGTAGTCCTGGTGGTCCGTCTCATAGCCGTCCCCATCCTCTGCTTCTGATTCAAAGTTGAAAAAAACCAAACACACAAACGAGGCTTAAAAAAAAAGAAAAAAACACCTCAGAGCGTCACACATTCACCCGAGACACAGGATGTGATCAGTGCATTTTATGACGAGTGTGTTGATGTTTGTGGGAGAAACCCCCCTCCCCCCCACTGGGTGAGTCACTTTTTCCTCTTTTCAACGACACATTTCCTCAATAACACCAACAAACTGAAATCGAGGGGTTTCACAGTGAAGATGTAAAGTGATCGTTAATGCTCATCCTCCACGTTTGGATAAAGAAACTTCATAACGCACAACACACACAAAGTATATTGTGTTTCTTTCTGAAATGCCAGATTTAAAAAGGGTAAAAGTTATCTAAAGACCAGAACAACCGTTAAAAAAGGATTGAATCCATCTGTGATGTCGTCAGAGCGGCTGCAGAAGATGATGATGAGTCAGTAGGCGACGACCAAGACCAAGATGTCGTCCTTCTAAATATAATCAGCTGACTCAGTCACAGTGACTAATATGTGTGCGTGTGTGTACACCTCATGTTGTTGTCCATTCCACAGACTTTTTAATGCTTTACTCTGCACGCAGTCATTATTAGATCTACCGCTGTGTGTTTAACCTGCAATCTGCCTGCTCCATCTGCAGCCGGTTCACGCCCCAACAGGTAAGAGCTCTGACTCACCGGGTTGAACCCCCACAGGTTACACAAAACCTGCTGTTTATTTAACGTAGAGGAGGAGGCGGACGGAGGAGACGAAGAAGATGCACGAACCTTTCTTCTTCTTGGGTTTGCTCTTGGACGGCTTCTTTTTGCTGCGGCTGCTGCGGCTGTTGGATCCCTCCGACACGGAGACGCTGTTCATGCTGCCGTCCTCGAAATCGCTGTCCACTTCGGGCTCCTCGTCCTCGCTCTGTGCAAACGTGAGAGACACACACACACACTTAAAAAAAACTGTTGGTGGTACCCAACTTTATGTGGGCGCACAAGGGGAGAGAGAGAAGAGAGAGAGACGCAGACAGACAGACAGACAGACACAGACACAGACAGAGACAGACAGACAGAGACAGACAGACAGAGACAGACAGACGGTGGATCGTACCGACGAGCGTTTCCTTTTGCTGTTGAAACCTCCCAGTTTGATTTTGAGAGGAGCCACTTTCTTGGTCTTGGCACTGTTCTTCTTCTCTTGTTGTTTAAGTGTAGGTTTGGACTTCTTGCGGGCGTTGGGACCTGCCGACACAAACCAGAAAGGCAAAGACGTGAGTCGGTGACGCACAGATAAGAGAAGACGAACATAAGATCAGACTTCTTTAATGTTTCATGATCACTGTACCTTTCCCTTCCTTAGTCTTGGCCTTGCGTAGCGGTGGCGGAGGCTCCACTGGAGCCACCGGCGCCGGCGGTGGTGGCGGCGCTACGACGACCGGCGCGACCTCCGCCACCATGGTGTCGACCGCGGCCGGCACGTTGGCGGTCGCCAGGGCTGCGTTGGCGGCGGCGGCTCCCCTCAGGGGGTTGTTGGTGCTGAACTCGCGCCATTTGGCGCCCAGAACCATCATCATCTTGGACACGGCGATCTTGGGGTTCTTGGCTGCGATGAGGGGCCTTAGAGGCAAAGGGGAAGTAAAAATGTTCATTGTAAGCATGAACCAAACGGGAGCGCAGTGAATATCTTAAACTCTATTATATTTTCAAAACCGGTCATTAAAAAAAGTTTTTCTCCTGGTAAAAAAAAAAATAGAGACAAAGAGACAGACAGACAGCCAAAAATTGGGGAAAGCAACTCGTGCATCATGGGAGATTTCTCTCCTGGTAAATAAACATGAAGTAAAGACACACACACAAAAAGGCATAATTGACATTTCCTGAGACACACTTGGACACTCAGCCAGGTGTCTCGTGTCCTCATTTACCTGACGAACTGGCTGAAGGCTTTGTAGTTGGTCAGAGAGCGGTAGTCCTCCTCGGTGAAGACGTGGTCGATGTCCTCCATGCCCCAGTCATCAAGCAGCTGGGACGACGACTTCGGCTCCTGCAGGAAAACAACAATGAGCTTCATCAGAGGGACAAGAGTTATACAGAAACGTTACAACAACAAACAACCTGCAGCCGTCACAAGATGGACGGCTAGTCATTGTGAATGAAATGTGGAACCGTTAACTCAGGACGAGCGTGAGAGGAGCGTTGTCCTGAGAAGTGGGAGAAAACGGACGATGTTTACAAAGAACCTCTGAATGTATCTCAGGAAATATTGGATTTTTTTTTTTTTAAATGTAAAATGGTTAATAATTCCAATAATACCAATCACACCAGCAGCTAAAACACTGAAAACTGGAAGATGTTTGGGATTGACAAGCCACTGAGTCCAAAAACAGCAGAAACGTGACACGAAAACAGAAACAACAAAATGAGAAAAGTATTGCAGCCAAAGAGTCACATTAAACTTGGTCATCACAGCGGTAACACACGATCTCACAGGATTCTCTCACAACCACTTCAGCTCAGAGGAGTTATCGATACTAATCGGATCGATTGATCGGAGGAGAACCTGGTTCAGGGAGACGAGTCCGTAACTCAATACGCGTTAAAGAGACGAACACGACCGGCGGATTTATTTAAACACGATTACCAAGAAAGACAAACCGTCCACCTCTCACAAAGACACCTTTGTTCTGCGTCGGCGGCCATTATTTTACCTCGCAATAGGCTAAATTATTACGACACAGGTAACGTACATAATGATATGTAATGATATGGGCCCGGGCAGTTCATTGAATGCGACTTTCACCATTCAGATCTATACAAAAAATGACTCTGATTAAAGTGTTCATCGCTCTAGAATCCTCTTTATTTGGCTCTCAAAGTAAAACTAAATCACTTTTGTTCAATCAAAACATGTAAACATAACTTTAAACTCTGGGACATTGTGATGGAAATGTTCTTAATAGACCAAATGATGATTCAACCCACAGATGAGTTGATAATAACTAATAATAATAATAATAATAATTAGTTTAGTCCTCTAAACGTTGTCCCTATTGTTCAACCGTCACTTCTGACTGAGTCACTCGCATCAAAGCAAACGATGAAACTAACGACGTCTTCACAGGTTAATCTGACAATTATTATATTTGATTAAAGCATTAATCGTTAAAATATTAGAACACAGTTTTAAACCGGATTAATGAACCACAAACGTTTCAGTTTCAGATCACAACAGACAACAGAAAAGCACAAAAGCGTTCTGCAGATGGGAACCGACTTCAAAATAGATAAATAAGTTATGGACACATTTGTAAATCTGAACGAATCGTTTCATCTCTGTATCAAACACGATGCTTCACCGTCTGAACTGCTATTTTTCTTTGGTCATATTTTGACCAATAAAAACCAATTTCTTGCCGATTGGAGCTTTATTGACCTAAAGTTTAAAAGAGGCCCCGAGGAGCATGTGAGCAGTAATTTTAGCCACCCTGGAGTCTTCTTCGTCCTCCTCTTCCTCCACCTCCTCCAGCCTTTCAGCAAAAACCAGCTTCCCCTCTTACAAACGAGGGGAAGCAGCGTCTCTGACAATGAAATAAAATGTGTTTATCTAGCCCAAAAAAAAAAAAAAAAAGGGTCAAGAGCGCAGTGCGGCGCTAAGCAGGGTTGCCGTGGTAACAGCATACATGCCTTACACCCCCCCACACACACACTGACTTACACACCCCGACGCCACCCCTTCCTTGCATAAGTGTCATTAGCTGCGAGGCCCCCTATTGGCCGCCGGTGTGTTCCGAGTGCAGCAGACACAGCTCTTTGTTTAAGCGTCTCTCATCTCACGTTTCTGTCTGTCAAACCAGAGCCGACTCCATTACAGGTACCCAGTCAACAGGGCCGCACAAAGGGCTTCCTACTGAACCCACGGTCCACCAAAGAAGAGACACGTGGTTGCTAGAAATCGGCTGGAAAACGTACGATTTTTTAAAGCACAAATGTGCACAAAGAGCAGTTTGGCACACTTAAAAAAAAAGGATCTTATCGGTAGTTTTGCATATTATGGTTCAACTACAACTCGTACTTTACCCCACAGCTACATGTTTTGCATATGATGCTGCTGTGTTTTAGAAATCTAAATGCACTTTAGGAGCACATCGGTGTCCGTTCATTGAGCTCTTTCAGAACATTAAGTCGATATGAGGTGATAAACGTTTCAATTCAACCTGTGCTTAAACACATTTTACACACAGCAACGTTAAAACAGACAAAAATTAATTCAGGTTTTAGAGGCTGAACCCCAAAACCCGCCGAAGAAAACCTCTGAAAAAAGCATGTATATCAAAACCAGAAGCTGTAAAAACTGTTATAAACGTCAGATTTTCATCTTTCAGATGGTCCTTGAACACATCATGTGTGACGAACGCTTCAGCCCAAAAATGCAACAAAGCTTAAAATTGGGATATTTCATAAAAAAAACTTTTATTCTACGCGTCTCATTTAAAATGTTGCCTAAAATAAACCGTTTGCTTTAACTAGATCTTGTGAAAAACATTAAATTCTGCGCAACTTGGAAGCCACAATTGATTCCTCTGAGACCAACAGTCACATGACAACAATTCTGTGAATCTTAAGACTGAACTTCAGGCTGCTGAACACAGAGCGGAGAGGAGAGGCTGGAAGTAGAGGTTGTAAAACTGTACATAGTTCAATGCATATAGCAGCACGTAGAACCTCTCTCTACTTCTAGCCACGCTTGTTCCGTTTCCACAGAGGTGCAGTACTTTTATATTGCAGTAAAAATCACGGCCACAGAGTTACAAACACCCCGAAACTGCTTGGGGTTCAGAGGATTAAGCCATGAACTGGAACAACTTGAACAAAAGAGGAAAAATACAGCAAAAATCTAAAAAAAAGCGTGTCCCGTAGTGCACCGAGAATGGTCCCCAAAATATGTCATGTACACAGAATTTGTCTTTGGAGCTCAAACCTGTGACCCGTAGTGGAGACAGATGTGCTCCAAAGCCTTCAGTCAACACAGCAAATAGTTAAAATTCGTTTTTTGGGAGAACATGAAGACTTTTTCTGTCCGATTGTGGTGTAAATGTTGCGTCTGAGGCTTTTCAACCCTGAGAAAAGATAAATACTTCATGCCTAACTCTTCTAAGTTTGAGATGTATGTGTTGAGAAGCTTCACTAAAACTATGACGGCCACGTTTCCCTCACCGAGCTGTCATCGTCGTCATCGTCGTCGTCGTCGTCTTCCTCCTCGGGCTCCGGCTCTTTCTTCTTGGAGCTGCTCCTCTCGGCTCCGGAGCTGCTCCTCTTCTTCTCTTTACCGCTGCTGCCCCTCTTCTTCTTCTTGCGTCCCGGAGTGTAGTCGCTGCCCTCGCTGTCGGAGCGCTGGGCGTGGCCGCCGCCGCCTTCCACCTCCTCCGCCCCGCCCATGTCCATGGGCTCTGGGGAGCTGATGGGGAGCTCCTGGAACCAGGACACCAAAAAGAAAAGAAAAGAAGACAGCGGTCAGCAAACTGAAGCTGTCATGTTCGAGAGTAACGGGAACGGGATAAAGACGCAGCTTTCTCGCTGGGATTTTCAAAACACTCCAAGATAAAACATATTTATGAAAAGAAAAGATAGAATATAATTCATCATACAAGAAAATAGTTCCTACTGCACTTCAGAAGCCTTAAATACCCATGAAAAATTATGAGTTATGCTCTCGAAAAAGTAATTAAAAGTCCCCTCTGTATAAATGATGGTTGGAGGAGAAAAAAAATGCAAGAAATAAGTAGACGAGACAGATTTGAGGTGTGTAAATGTTAAAGTGTAACTTCCACCCAATGCACAGTTTTGAAACATTAAATATAAAAGTAGGCCATGACGCTGAGGGATGAAATCCCACGTAAACATGGTGGAATTAGTAAGCTAATGCTAGCTAGCTAACTAACCAGCTGCTAAGTGAGAACATTTTAACTTAATACTTCATCTACGCACTGTTGTCACAGCGTAAGGAAAGCACATCGCCAGTCGTTAACAAAGATTCACCAGATTTTGGAATGTTATCGTTTAATTTCACGTCCACAGAAGCTACACAGCAGTCAGGGGAAAGTCAAAAATGATAAGTCTGACTATTGTCTAGTTCACAGTATGTGGAGCTGGTGGTTAAAACACACAGATCAGAGGCTAATCCGCGTCATGAAAAAGACGAGAGCCGAGAGGCTCGACGGTGCATCGCAGACTCATTCCAGATAACTAGCACGCTAAACATCTAAGCTACAATGAGGTGTTTGCATGAATACGTGTAACACAGTGACGGGTTTACGATGGGGGGGAAATGGTAAAGACATGAATGACTACACCCGTGTCACTTCTAGCTTGTGTTTTCATGATAAATGTAGTTTCAGGTGATTACGAGACAGCAAGTTGTGCAGTGTGACCAGTACAGCCACCTGGTTTTAACGTGACGGTGTTAAAACATTTAATACGCACAATAAGGAGATATGTGTGAATTAAACTCTGCCATACTAAAGGCAGGAATAGCCTCAAGCATTGCACAATCATAACTACTTCCAGCTAATTTGACTTTGTTGGTTGTTGTGATTACATGAGAAGATTGTCAAAGTCTGCCGACGGTCCTGTTCTGTGTGAAGTTTAACTGTTCTGTGTGAAGTTTAACTAACAGTGTTTCAGTCTAGTTTCTATCAAACGCATCATCTGGGACATGGGATGAAGAAGTTGTCGTGTACTTCAGGTAGTTTTCTGACTTTGCATGTAGCTACAGTCAACGACACAGCGCTCTGCATCCTCACCTCTCTGCGCGATCGCCTCTTGCTGCCCTTGCTCTCTTTGCTCTTCTTGGCCTTCTTCTTCTTCTTCACCTTCGGGGTCTCATTCTCCGAGACCTCCTCTTCGTCGTCATCTGCAAAAATCGAGCCGGCGGAGACATTTCACGGTTAGACATATACACAAGTGAGGAGAGACCGAGTGTGATAACATTACAGAGCAAAGAGCAAAAACAAAACACAAGCTGGTAAATTTTGAGCAGCTTCTCTTACTTGTATTCCGATATATTTTTTAATCTCTATTTTTCTCATTTAAGAGTCCCGTCACAGACTGGTTGATGGGGCTTCTTCCTATTTAAAATGACCACTATCAGAATGCCACATTTTCCCTTTTTGAAGAGACCAACTCGCTTACTTTTAGGTTTTAAAACACAAGTAAGTGAACAAAGTACGGTATTGACTGGGACAATTTAGCGCTCTCTCTTCCACCGCCAGGCTGCAACCACATTCACATGGTGTTAAATGACATTTAAGTGGTCCAGGATTAGACGGCTAGAATAAAAACCCAACAGAAGTCCCGAGAACCAGAACAAGTGGAGGACAAGCCGGTGGTTTGGGCTACTAGTTGCCCTTAGGGGGGTGATTCAAATCAGTTTTGTTCCAGTGGTTACAACTGGTAATTTACGACTGATTAGTCGTTATAATTTACCACACCCTCCTGCAGGCCTGATGACAGAGAGGATCCCAGTCCAGCGTTTGGCGCTGCCTCAGTGGCTCTGAAGTGATGCGGTGTGGCACTCAGAGCCTGTTAATGTAATTGACTATGGTAAAAAAAAAAAAAAAAAAAAGTAAATGGCAAGCAGCCATTAAGATGCACCTGGTGAGGAAGAAGCTTTAATGGGATGAGCTTTTTTTTTTTTTAAATGTCATTATGAGGAGACGGCTGTGTGTGGCGATGTGGACGGATGCAAGAAATCCAGAGAATTTAAAAAAGCCATAAATGTATCCATTTCAGTGGTGACATAAAACCACATTCACTTAAGCACTATTTACGCAAGTATTTCCATTTACCACTACATTTCAGAGGGAAATATTGTACTTCTTACTGCACAACATCCATTTGACAGCTGAAGTTACTTTTCAGACGTGAGATTATTACCACAAAATATTATTTAACTAATACATTCTGATATATTAGTATAGTTTAAGCTACCACTGAGTATATAAAGACCTTAAAGTGAATGCATCAATCAATATAATCCACTAATTTAATGTATAGGATCCTGAAATGGGATCTGAACACTCAGTACGTTTGCTGTTGTATTTTAAGTATTTACTTTTACTCGAGTAAGATTTTGATTGCAGCACTTTCTACTTAAATATATATCTGAATACTTCTTTGAGCACTGATGCATTTACAATAGCAGTGTCTACCATCATCAGATGCATGAAAACAAGACATGCACCAACCTTTCGTTTGCATCAAATATCGTGCACGTGAACGCATGTTTTGGTTGGATTACACAATATTTTGTTTATGCAGCATCACTTGACATGTTCATTAAAAGGTTAATGCTATTTTATGAATGAAATGCAGTTTTTCCCCTAAGCTTTACTTGCAGGACTACTTGTTCTTGGTTGTGTACACAGCGCGTGCTCGTCGTGTATTATACAAAACTGTAAACAATGCTCATCTTAGACCCCCACCAGTCTGTGTTTATAATATGCATGTTTGGAAGATATATCTAGTGGATAAGATGCTAGAAACGTTTTTTACTATATTGTATTATTTGTACTTCTCCCCCCTACACACACGCACGAGGAGGGAAACGCTTCAGAACGTCATCCGCGAGCTTCCGAAGCTAACTGGCTGCCTCCATCTTGTGTCATCGACACGTAAATAAATGCCGGTTAGCATAGCATGCTAACATATTAGGCCCCGGGAAACACGCCGGTGAGTCGGCGTGACTTCACGACAAAAACACCATCATCATCAACCGCCATAACGGCTGTAGTTGCGTGGCAACATAGCGGTTTTTTTTTTTTTTTTAAAGTGTGAAAGGAAGAGAGTAAAGCAAATTAAAAATGTACAAGTATGCTAATGTTAGCCGCTAGCATTAGCTTACCCGGTAGTTAGCAACATTAGCTAGCGTAGCGAAACATGATTGATATGAATGTAAAAAAAAAAAAAAAAAAAAACATCTGCTCATGCTAGCATGAAACCGCTGTGAACATTAGCATTTAGAGGCTAACAAATGAGCTCCGGTCTCACCGTGCATTAACCGGTCCTCCGGGGCTCCATAGTCGTCTCTGTCATCCTCGCTTCCAGACATAGCGGACAGGGCAAGAAAAACTTTCTATTTAGTTAGCTAACAAGTTTAGCTAAACTAAATAAAAGTTATGTTTTGTTTAGTCGGATAATCCAGAGTTCTGACCCCCAAATCTGGAGTCCGTCCCAAGTCGTTCGGTGTAGTTGGTTTGAGGCCAGAAGAGAAAGAAGAACAAAAAAGAGAAAGAAGACGGAAGTGAATATTTTGACACCAAAAGATAATTAAAACAAAAACACACCGCGACACAAACACTCGCCGCGTGGACTTCTCAAGACAATATATTTTAACTTTACCTATATCAAGTTAAGACAGACTACCACTCTCCATCGTTCAACTGACATGCCATCTTTACCATTATCGTTAGTTCCCATTAGCACGCGTGCTAACCCGAGCTGGACCGGTTGAGATTTGTGAAAAAAATAAAATAAATAAAGAAGCACAACGAGCCCTGGTTGCACACTTACTATCTAATCTTAGAACATCTCGTAACAACCGGGCATCCATCTCACCCCGTCCATCTTTACCTTTACTCTGTATTTATATTTTACAAACAATAAAACCAAAAAAATAAAACTGGATACTCACAACTTGATTCACAGCTTCCCCCCAAAAATAAAACCCCAGTCACTCCGAGCTCACTTTGTCTAATAATCAATACTTTGATGCTCTTTTTGTTTTTTGTTAAGCTAACGGTATACATACAATTTAAATATATTTCCGTGTTTTTTGGGGGGGGGGTAGGCAGCGTGTGCGCACGACGCCGTCTCCTCTTTCTCTCTCTCTCTCTCCCTCGCACACTAAAACACACACCCCGCGCGCGCGCGCACACACACAAAGAGATCAGGGGGCAGGCATCCCATAATATCCCCCCCTTCCTCCTCCTCCTCCTCCTCCTCCACACACACGCACACACACTTCAGTCACCCCTCCCCCACTCTGCATAGTTACCTTGCAACGTACAGACCATAATAGTCAACTCCCCCCTCCCTCTGCTACAGTCTCTTCCCCATTCCTCCATGCACCCCCCCCCCATAGCAACCGTGGTTACCATGGAGACCCCCCCTCCCACCCCAGTGCAGCATCCCATAATAGTAATGAGCGCAGTCACTGACATCCCTCAATAAGCATAACTCCAAAAAAAGAGAGAGAGAGAGAGATAGGAGAAAGAAAAAAAAAAAAAGGAAAAGCCGTCACATGGCAACTGTGTGTGTCACATGACTGCTTAACTTGAGTGTGCATGTTTGCATGTATGCGCAGGCACCGTACTGTATATATGAGTCCGGCTGCACGCGATGTGGATGCAATGCAACGATGACTTAAAAAAAAGAAAAAGAAAGAAAAATGCACCATGGGGGGGGGGGGGGGCATAAAAGTTAGGGTGACCCAGGTGTAACCCTAAAATATGAGGCTACGCATGACTCACCTGATCATGAGCTCACCTGAAGGCCTGAAGAGGTAGGCCTTTGTGTTTTTAGGAGCAGGTCAGTGTGAGGGTTAAAGAGTCGGCCCTGCAGGGTGGAGGGTCACTAAGGTCAAGCTGTAGCCACAACCTTCAAGTCCCCCCCCCCCCATCAAAACAAGAAACAGGGAGCCCAGAAGCACAAGAGCCAACAGCTGAGTTAAGCTGTCTGCTACACACACACACACACACACACACACACACACACTTTGCTCCACAGGCTGCTTTTGGAAAATGCATTGCAGTCAATGGTGGGAAAAACGTCTGGGTCCTAGACTGTATTTTTTCCCACCATTAACTGAGTGTAGAGCATTTTGACTGTGGAGGTTTAATGCTCAGTGGGACAGAGAGGCTTCTGAGTGACATGGGG